TGGAGATCCCGAACTTCCAGAAATTTCCAGGGGGATTTCAAACCTTCCGGAACTTTCCGGAGATTCAAAATTTTTTATGGAATTCCAGAACTTTCTATGGAGGGTCCCAAACTTCCAATGGAATTCCAGAATTTTCTATGGAGGGTCCCCAAATTTCCAGAACTTTCCAGGTGCTTCCACTGGGATTCCAGAACTTTCCATGGAGATCCTGAACTTCCAGAACTTTCCACAAGGATCCAAAAATTGCAGAACTTTCTATGGAATTCCAGAATTTTCTATGGGATTCCAGAACTTTCCATGGGGATCCAAAAATTCCGGAATTTTCCATGGGATTCCAGAATTTTCCATGGAGATCCTGAACTTCCAGAACCTTTCATGGAATTCCAGAACTTTCCATGGAATTCCAGAACTTTCCAGACGTTTCCAGGTGCTTCCACTGAGGATCCAGAACCTTCCAGAACTTTCCACAAGGATCCAAAAATTCCAGAATTTTCTATGGAATTCCAGATTTTCCTATTGAGATTCCAGAACTTTCCATGGAACTCCAGAACTTCCCAAACTTTCCAACAGGGATCCAAAAATTCCAGAATTTTCTATGGAATTCCAGAACCTTCCATGGAATTCCAGAACTTTCCAGATGTTTCCAGGTGCTTCCACTGGGATTCCAGAACATTCCATGGAGATCCTGAACTTCCAGAACCTTCCATTCATGGAATTCCAAACTTTCCACAGGGGACCCAAACATTGCAGAACTTCTGGAATTTTCCATGGAATTCCAGAATTTTCCATGGCAATCCTGAACTTCCGGAATTTTCCATGGAATTCCAGAACATTCCATGGAGATCCTGAACTTCCAGAACTTTCCACAAGGATCCAAAAACTGCAGAACTTACTGTGGGATTCCAGAACTTTCCATGGAATTCCTGAACTTTCCACAGGGATCCAAAAATTCCAGAATTTTCCATGGAATTCCAGAACATTCCATGGAGATCCTGAACTTCCAGAATCTTCCATTCATGGAGATTCCAGAACCTTCCACAGGGGACCCAAACATTGCAGAACTTCCGGAATTTTCCATGGAATTCCAAAATTACCAGAATTTTCCATGGGGATCCAAAAGTTCCAGAACTTTCCATGGAGATCCTGAACTTCCAGAACTTTCCATGGAATTCCAGAACTTTCCATGGAGATCCTGAACTTCCAGAACTTTCCATG